CCCCAAAACCCCAAAACCCCAAAACCCCTGCATGCTTCTATAATGATATTAAGTAGTTATTTATTAATCGAAATATAAGAGTAACGGAAAAAGTTCTTTACCTAATCAATGATCAATAGATTCAATCCATAATTGCAATTTTCATAGGTTAATATAATAAATCCTGCGAAATGCCCTTTCAATAAATGTTACATTGATTGCTGCAGTCAGTTGGAAGGCTATTTCTGTTATTAACAATATCTGAATCCTGAATCATTGAATTATCTTTAATTTGCTTCTTTCTAGGCATGCTGGTAATCTGATTAGCTCTTCTAAAACTAAGTGGGGATCTTAAAACTAGGTCTTCACCATCTAGATACATATCCATGTCCTAAGCCAATTGAGTTTTTCTTCTATCTTTAGGAGTCATCTTGTACTCCTCACCCTTGGAAGAAGATCCTAAAAATTGCTGGATATCTTCAGGGAGCATATGAGTGGCAACATCTTTCTATTGTATAAGTTTATCAATCTTTTTACCCTTTGCTGCTGATTGTTTTTCCTAGATTTCTTAAAATTCTGTTTGAATCTCAACTTCTTTAAATATTTTCTAAGTTTTAGGTGAAATTCTAATTGATTATTCCTCTCCATTTCCTTATGTCATGTCAATCAGCGATTTCGATTGCTGCTCTGATTGCTCACTTTCAGAGTCAGAATGATCTTTTTGCTCAATCTCGTCATCGCCTTCTCCATCATCAAATCTAAATTAAAAGTTCTTGAACATTGGTGTTTGAATGCTGCTCTTTCTACCATCCTATTTGAAACTCATGTTTGATGCAGATTCTTATCTTTCAACATTATCAATTCTAATCTCAGTAAAGATATTTTAAGCGAATCTGTTGCTGATTTAAGGCTTAACATCCATCAATGAGTGTTGACTGAGATCGCCATATGAGATATCAAGCAGATCATTTGGTCTTTGCTCCTCTTCAAATTGTTCATTTGGTTAAGCTCCATCAAAATCTAGTTCATTCAGGGTACTCTTTCTTGGCTTTTATTCTTAAAATGTTACAGGCCTTGTCATTCTCTGCGAATTCCTTTTATCACCCTTATAGAAGGAACCAGGTCTTGACATATTATCACCAATATCACCAGTATAAACTATTTCGCCACTGATTGCATTGATTGGAGTATTTTCGTATTCATTCATGTAGGTCAATCTGTTGTTCTATGAAGCATTATCACTGCTGGGATTTCCTTTATTCAAGAAGCTGCCTCTTCTGCTTACATCAGCAGATGTGGTATTTGAATGGAATTCGAATGGTCTTAGATTGACTTATTAATGACCAATATTGTTGTCACTTTTGTCGTCTGAGGGGTAACCATCTAATTAGTTCTCTCCAAAGCCTCTGTTGACCATGCTTGTATCCAATAGCTTTTCAGTCAATTACTAATTGAATCCTGTTTGATCTTCTTCATCCATATCCAGTATTTCTAGATCATTTCGAGTTACTTGGATCTTATGCTATGTAATATTCTCCTCATGATCAGTTACCTTTAATGTTACGTGGCGATTTCTTGGACTTAAAACAACTTCAAATTTCTTTAGACTATTTATTGCCTCCTCATAAAGCCTTTGCTTTTCTTCCTCCTAGATTTATTTGAAGATCTCTTCTATCTTCTCAACATTAAATTACTCTCTCTTTTTTGTCTTTTTATAGACTAAGTGCTCCTAAATTGTGGCAAAATTATTAATAACAGATTCCAAATCCTTAATTTTTTTCTCTTTGCTTTCAAACTAGAATTTCATGCTTTTCCTCTCAGCTTATATTCCATTAAGGTATTCTTGTAAATCATCAAATTTGTCTCTTAATGATTTATATTCATCTTAAATTTGCATCATCTACTCGTACCTGTTGGCATTATCTCTCTCCAACTTTTATTTTTCATCCTCTAGTTCCTTAATAATATCAATACTCATTTTTTATCTATCTTGGAAGGTATTTTTTTCCTTTCTTAGAGAATCCAATTCGATCCTAGCAGCCTCAAGATCATTCTCCATTTCTGATGAATAGGTATTAACTTGTTACAAACTATTCAACGCGTCGTATAACTTTTTTTCATTAGCAGCATATTCCCCTTGAAGCTTTTTTAACTTATCCTCGAGTTAAATGCATTTTTCGCTTAATTCAAAAACATCGATGTTAGTGCTTTGGTGAGGAATCATTTTAAAGTCCTCAAGAGATGAATCCCTATCAAGTTTTTGTACTTGAGATCTTTAGATGCCAAGATCTTCATAAATTGGCTTTTGAGCAGGCTAGGTATTTCTTTATCTTGTCCTCTACTTTCCAAGCTCTCTAAGATTTTGTTCAATTCTAGTAATGTTTTCCATTTCTTCATTCTCATCTAATTCTGTTTCAATTACCTCGTCATCGTGTTCAGACATATGAAAAGTCTTTTACTTTTTATCAATTTGTTTTTACAAAAATGTCACTTGATTTTCTAGGTATTTGTTTTCCTCCTCCAGATATTTAATTTCATTCACATCCTCCTTCAGAGTTTTAAATTCTTCGAAAATCTCAGGGGTCAATCCATCACTCAATATTTTTGAAGCTGCTATCGTCTCCAAAATCCATTATCTCATCTCATTAAGATCTTCTGAGAGCAAGGATTCTAGTGGTATTTCGTCTAACTTATTGTAGAGATTTCTTCTGTGATGATTAAGTTCGACAATTTAATCCTCGACAGAATTGAATGATTTTATACTCATAATTAGTGCTGATTACCTTAATTATATAAATATGATTAATTCAATGTATAATAAAATTCAAGATATAATAATTTTTAGATCTTTGTCAGATTCATATTTATTTTTCTGTGGGGTTTTGGGGTTTTGGGGTTTTGGGGAGATCGGA